ATATAGAGTCGTAAAAGAAGTGCAAAAGACAAGAAAATTAAATGAAAGCAGTAATTAAGTTGAATGACCACTCGGTTCCCTTTGAATGTCCCTTCGGCTCCTTTTGCGAGGAAGAAGCAAAAGAAAGTTCGAGCCCGGCGACCAAGTATGGATTTATCTAAGGAAGGAACGTTTTCCTGAGGAACGGAAGTCCAAGATCTTGCCCCGAGTTGACGGACCATTCACGGTTTTGAACCGCATTAACGACAATGCCTACCAGATCGATCTCCGAGGTAAGTACACGGTCAGCTCGAGTTTTAATATTTCTGACTTAGTTCCTTTTCTTCCAGATGGACCAGACTTGAGGACAAGTCCTTTTCAAGAGGGGGGGAATGATACGACCATGGACGAGGTGCGAACTGAGGGTCAGGCCAGAGAACTAGTTCAGGTCGGAAATCAAGACCAATTGGCCGACCTAAGCGAAGTGGAGGTTAAACAAGATGTAAATGAAAGGCTGCGTCGAATCCTATGGATTGAATCCGATAAACCAAATAAAACTTTCAAGGCTAACCACCTAAGAAAGAAAACTCAGAAAGAACAAGAGAAAATCTCGATTTTATTGATGAAAAGTGAATAGCGAAATAGAAAGGAGTCTGGCTCTTTATATAGAGTCGTAAAAGAAGTGCAAAAGACAAGAAAATTAAATGAAAGCAGTAATTAAGTTGAATGACCACTTGGCTCCCTTTGAATGTCCCTTCGGCTCCTTTCGCGAGTGATCCTTGGATTTCTTGTAACGGCAATTAACTAACTTTGGATAAGAGAGATGTGGCCCCTTAACCTCATTAAAACCCCATCCGGTAAACCCAGTGGGACAAACCCGGATGCAAGGAAAAAGAGTATCAAGGAGCTACACCGTCCGAGTAGGTTAAAAGCGTTACAGCTCGGTTGTTTAGTGTAGCGTCCGTAAACTTGGCCTTCAGCTCGGTGCATAACCTCCAAACGGCCATAGATAACTTCTTGGCTCGGGACCGCATTATTGGACCAGCGAGCTCGGATAAATCCGTACTTGGGTCGTCCACCTCGTCTGCTTTCCGTCCTGAACCTCCACTTCGCTTAGGTCGGCCAATTGGTCTTGATTTCCGACCTGAACTAGTTCTCTGGCCTGACCATCAGTTCGCACCTCGTCCATGCTCGTATCATTCCCCCCCCCCCTCTTGAAAAGGACTTGTCCTCAAGTCTGGTCCATCTGGAAGAAAGGGAACTAAGTCAGAAATATTAAAACTCGAGCTGACCGTGTACTTACCTCGGAGATCGATCTGGTAGGCATTGTCGTTAATGCGGTTTTAGTTAATACCCCATCCGGTAAACCCATTGTCGTGAATGGTCCGTCAGCTCGGGGCAAGAGCTTGGACTTCCGTTCCTAAGGAAAACGTTCCTTCCTTAGATAAATCCATACTTGGTCGCCGGGCTCGAACGTTCTTTTGCTTCTTCCTTTGTTTGCTTTCCTTTGAAATTGCTCGGTTTTCTTTTGAATGTTTTCCTTGGCTTTCTCGTGCATCTGTTTGACCAATTCGGCCTTTTTCTTGCCATCTAGATTAAGTCTTTCACTCATAGGCAAAGGGGTTAGATCAAGCGGAGTAAGCGGATTAAACCCATACACAAGTTGAAAATGAGAAAACATTGTAGTCAAATGAACCGAATGATTATAAGCAAACTCAACGTGTGGCAAACAATCTTCCCAAGTTCTAAGATTCTTTTTAATTACAGATCGCAACAAAGCTGATAAGGTTCGGTTAACTACTTCAGTTTGTCCATCAGTTTAAGGGTGACAAGTAGTTGAGAAACACAGTTTAGTTCCAAGTTTGGTCCAAACGGTTTTTGATATATTCATAAATTGCATCATTTAATGTACATATTCTAGTCCAAATCATGTCTCATTTGCATGCATTTTAGGTGTTTAAGCATTGTTTTAGGACTTAGGAGATTGCATTAAGTCCAAGAGAGTTTTGCATGTTTTGGAGTGTTAAACAGGTGCTTTTGGAGTTTATTTGGAGTGGAGGATGTGATTCAGATGAAGAAATGGAGTTGAAATGATCAAAAATGGTGAAAAGGAGCAATTTTGGGTTTCTCGGCAAAATGATATACTGATGGCCGAAGATTCTCGGCCAAAATCCTTCCCGCGGGTAGCTTTCTCGGCCAAAAACACGTACCGCGGTCAAGTCTCTCGGCCAAAATTCCCGGGTGCAGATACATTTCCGAAATCGCGTCACCGGAAGCTCTTGCCGGCAGATTCAGCTGTCGGAGTCTTCATAAAAGTTTGAGATAATTGAGGCAAGAGTTCATAACAGTTGGAATCAAGGCATTTGGACCACGGAACTGAAAGATATGGTAATCGGAAGACGAACAGGTCTCGCACTCATTCCGGAGCAATCCGATACCCCTGAATGATCGCCTGTCCGGGGAGCCTTCCGGTCCGATTCAGACGGTGGGTGATTCATAGAAGTTGGAGAGCATTGCATCACGGTCTCTTAGCAAGTGGAATCGTGGAATTCGGACGCGTGAGCAGAGAGATAAGCTTGTCGGAAAGAACCCCAGTCTCGCAGGTATTCCGGACCGAGCAGATCAGTTCTAAAGGATGCGAAGGATGGTGCACTTCCAGGCCGATTTAGTTTCCGGGTCCTTCATGAGAACCAGATACATTTGAGTCTTCTTTCCAGAACGTCCAAGAACATTCAATTCGGATCTATGAGCAGAAAGATACGGACTCCGGAATGGACACATGTCTAGACGCCTCTCTCTGGTCGTGTACATGCACTGCAAAGATGTGCCCTCCAGGAAGCCTTACACTTCCCAAGCACCGAAGCTTCCTTCACAAAAGTTGGAGATAAATGACTCCTCTGTCTTCTGCAACCGAAATCATTCAATTCGGACAAGTCTCATAGGAGTTACACTCTCCGGAATGCGAAGTGGTCTAAGCTGCTCTGGATGCTGCGAGATGGTCTTGCGACTTGGTTAACCCGCAGGCCTGAAGATGAACGCCTGAATGCTGATGCTGCGAGTTGATATGTGCGGGTAAACTATCACTGGAAGAGGTCTGAAGCTCAAGATCAAGAGAAATGCTAAGTCCACAATCGTGCGACTTAGGCATGCGAGTTAGCCGCGCCTGGAACTATGCCGCACGATCACTCGCAAATCACTCCGACTTGAGCCTGCGACCTAGGTGCAACAGAGACCAACCCGCACAGTTTGTACATTCTCCAGAAACCGCCTTAGCCCTGCGAGTTGGAGAGGAAGAAGACCAAGCCGCAGGAACACTCGCAAAACACTCCTACTTAGGCGTGCGGCTAAGACAAGGCGATTCAGGCTTCACAAGACAAGTATTCATCTACTGCGACTTAGGTGTGCGACCTGGGACATACTGGACTGACCCGCAGGATTTCCACTTGACCCAACTGAGCCGGGTCAGTACCCAGTTTGTCCTGGGCTGACCCGGTCCATTAGCACTAGGTATATATAGTTTTTTTGGGAGAAAAACCCTGGACATCATCTTCTCTCTTAGTTTCTCTCTAGTTTTCTTTCCATTTTAGTGTAAAAACGTTTTTGATTAAGAGAGATCTCAAGGATTTAATCAATCTAAGTCTGTTTCTCATCATCTCATCATCTCATTTCTGCTTCTAATCATGATTAACATCATCTCTTGCAAAAGATTAGATGTGTTCTTCATGATTAGTGAGTAGTCATATTTTAAGCTTCTAGGTGTGTAGATTAGGGTGCTTAGATGTACATTAATGATTGTTTAAGCTTAGATTCTCTTCTCCTTTCCTTAGTTAGCTGATCCTAATGCTAGATCCTTGCACATCACTTGGGTCTAGAATCTGGGTTTTTCATGCACCAAAAGTGTTTGATGAAATGCCTGAATGAAAGCTAACTAAGGGTTTATGCATTAATGTCATGGGAATGATTGTTAAATGCATGAATGGCATATTAGAACTGTTTCTTAATGCCCATTGATTCATATTTCACAAATGATGATTTGGTTTGAAAATGGATTAGTGTAGAGGTTAGTGCCTTCATGAGAGGATTAATCTAGATTAGAGTTCTAAGTTAATTGGAATTTGAGATCATATGATGCTTGCTTTATCTTTCTGTATAAGATTCAGTCTTTCTTAGCTCTTATTTTGATGCACAAAGAGGCTGTCTGGTCATGTTAGACTTGGAACCTTATGCTTGTTAATTGCTTATTCACTAATGGGAATTAGTCTTGAATTGGTAATTAACAAAGGGATTTCTGTCATGAGAATGAATTAATCTGAATTGGAAGTCTAGACTAAAGATTTGCAAGTGTTGCATTGTTTGCTTAGCATCATGAATTCACATTTAAAGCACCCTAATCAATGATCACATCTAGAGGTTTAGCTTTCTTTTTATTTGAATTTGAGTGTTTGTTTAGTTTCTCTTGCTTGTTTAATTCTTAATTACTGTTTGTTCTTGCTTGTTTTGTTATATGCTTTTAGATAATCTTGGTTACCAACTCATCTGCTTATTAGACTTGGATTAAGAATTGATCCTCATAGTTCTAGTGTCTAGAATCTCTCCATTTGGATTGATACCTCAAGTGCTACAATGACATGAGTAGTTGAGGAATTGATCAAGGATTGAAAAATTCCTACTATCAGTTTTCCAAAAATAGCTAAGGAACTTAGTGTCCCGATCTGAAACAATGGTTCTAGGAACCCCATGCAATCGGACAATCACCCTAAAGAAAAGGTCAGCCACATTCAAAGCATCATCGGTCTTATGGCATGGAATGAAATGAGTCATTTTAGAAAACCTATCTACGACCACAAAGACCGAATCTCTACCTCTCCTAGTTCGTGGCAATCCTAACACAAAGTCCATAGAAATATCGGTCCAGGGCTCACTAGGAATGGGAAGTGGGGTGTACATACCTGGGCCTTGACTTTGGGTTTTGGCCATCTTGCAGACCGTGCATCGACCACAGATCCGTTCCACGTCGCGTCTCAGGTGCGGCCAAAAAAATGGTCTTGCACCACGCTCAGAGTCTTAGCTACTCTGAAATGCCCCATTAGTCCACCTCCGTGTGCTTCCCTGACAAGTAAATCACGAAGAGACGTGTTAGGTATGCATATCCTATTTTCATAAAAGAGATAGCCATCACTTTGGTAATATTTGCCATGGGAAAATTTCGAACTGGCTTGGTAGACTTCCTGGAAGTCTGGATCAGTGATGTAGGCATCCTTTATCATTTCGAATCCCAACACCTTAGCGTCCAAAGTGGTAATCAAGGTGTATCGACGAGACAACACGTCGGCCACTATGTTCTCTTTGCCCTGCTTGTACTGGATGACATAGGGAAAGGTTTCGATGAATTCCATCCATCTGGCGTGCCTCTTGTTAAGCTTCTGTTTACCCTTTAAGTGCTTGAGCGACTGGTGGTCCGTGTGGATGACGAACTCCTTTGGCCACAAGTAGTGCTGCCAAGTTTGTAGGGCTCGGACTAAGGCGTATAATTCCTTGTCGTAGGTCAGGTAGTTCAAAGTAGCTCCACCTAGCTTCTCGCTGAAGAAAGCCACAGGTTTCTTCTCTTGCATTAGCACGGCTCCAATTCCAACTCCCGAGGTGTCGCACTCGATCTCAAACCTCTTGAGAAAGTCAGGTAGCACCAGCAATGGAGCATGGGTGAGTTTGTGTTTCAAGAGTTGAAAAGCCTCCTCCTGAGGTTGCTCCCATTTGAACCCGACCTCCTTTTTAATGATCTCGGTCAAAGGCGCGGCTATGGTACTGAAATCTCGGACAAAACGTCGGTAGAACCCAGCTAGTCCGTGGAAGCTCCGAACTTCACTCACAGTCTTTGGGCTCGGCCAGTCCCGGATTGCTTTGATCTTTTCTTCGTCGACCTGGACTCCCTGCGAACTTACCACGAAACCTAGGAAGACAATGTTATCCGTACAAAATGAACATTTCTTAAGGTTCCCAAAGAGACGTTCTTGCCTAAGCACATATAACACCTTTTTCAAATGCAACACATGTTCATCTAAGGTCTTGCTGTAAATCAAGATATCATCAAAGTAAACTACCACGAAAACACCTATAAATGACCTAAGAACGTGATTCATCAAACGCATGAAAGTGCTAGGTGCATTAGTGAGTCCAAAAGGCATAACAAGCCACTCGTAAAGACCATGCTTAGTTTTAAAAGCCGTTTTCCATTCATCACCTTCTTTCATCCTAATCTGGTGATAGCCACTTTTTAAATCAACTTTAGAGAATATGCATGCACCATAAAGCTCATCTAACATATCATCTAGCCTAGGGATGGGATGGCGATACTTAACCATTATGTTGTTGATGGCTCGGCAGTCAATACACATCCTCCAAGTTCCGTCCTTCTTGGGCACGAGTAAGACCAGCATGGCGCATGGACTCATGCTTTCGCGAATGTATCCCTTAGCCAGAAGCTCATCCACCTGTCTTTGAAGCTCCTTGGTTTCGACTGGATTAGTACGGTAGGCTGGTCGGTTAGGAAGGGTGGCTCCGGGTACGAAGTCGATTTGCTGCTCAATTCCTCGGATGGGTGGTAAGCCACCTGGGTCGTATTCCGGAAAGACATCGGCGAATTCCTGCAAAACACGAGAGATCCTGCTCGGTAAGACCGGCTCAGGGTTAGTATGGCTAGCCAAAGCGTCTTTGAAGATGAGTAGAACAAAAGGTTGCTTTGTAGCCAAGGCATATTTCACCTCGCTATGCCTCACAAGAAAGGATTCTTTGCTCACGGGATTTCCCTCACAAGCCATTTCTAGGTTTTCCTCAGACTCTCTCTTTTGATGTGAAGTGTTTTGGGGTTCGCTCAAAATGTTTTTACCTTTGGAGTTTTGCTCCAGCTTGACCTGATCAAGATAGACTTCGTGTGGTGACAAGGGTGCTAGGACAATCTTGCGACCTTGGTGTTCAAAGGTATGTTTGTTTGAAAAACCATCATGGATCGCCTTCTTGTCGAACTGCCACGGCCGTCCTAGAAGTAAATGACCGGCCTCCATCAGTAGAACATCGCAGACGACCTCGTCCTCATATCGTCCGATGGTAATTGGTACGGTGACCTGCTTGGTGACCTTGAGTTGCCTCTGGTTGTTGAGCCACCGTAAGTTATAAGGGTGAGGGTGCTTACGGGTTTCCAAACCCAGCTTATCAACCATGTTAGTGCTAGCCACGTTGGTGCAACTTCCTCCATCGATTATCAAGCTACACACCTTTCCTTGGACCAAGCACCGGGTGTGGAACAAGTTTTCCCTCTGATCTTCCTCCTTGTTCCGTTCTTGTGCTATTAAAACACGCCAAGCTACAAGTAGCTCTCCACATACAGCTCGCTCCTCGGTCTCTTCCTCGTCATAGACCGGTTTAGTATCCTCGTCGTGATTGGATACGATCTCTCCGATGTCGAGCAAAAGCATTGCCCGCTGGTTTGGGTATTTATTGGCGTAGTGTCCCTTTCCCCGACACTTAAAGCATTTGATGTCACGCGTACTGGATGAGTTGACCTCGGCCTTGCCTGTGTTCTGGTTCGGTCTGGTGTCCGTCCTCGGTTGGTTGTTAGAACGCGAGGGGTAAATTGCCTTGTCGTCTCGGTAGGTCGGTCGCGAACTAGATCCAGGGGTAAATCGATTGGTACCCTTTCGTTTGAGCTGTTGCTCCACCAGAATGGCCTTGTGTAGCATCTCGGCCATGTCATTGTATTCTTGTAACTCCATACGATCCTGCAAATCCCGGTTCAAGCCACTTAGAAACCTGGCCATGGTCGCGTCCTCCGGCTCGAATACGTCGGCTTTGAGCATTAAGCGCTCCATTTCTTGATGGTAATCCTCCACGGATTTGGTTCCTTGCATGAGTCTCCGAAGCTTGGTATGTAACTCCCGATGATAGTGGGATGGCACGAACCGCTGTCGCATGAGAGTGGCCATCTCATCCCAAGTTTCCACCGGCTGCTCTCCATTGCGATGGCGACAGGTCACAATCTGGTCCCACCAGTCGATGGCATAGCCATTAAACTCGGAAGCCGCCAAGTTGATCTTCTTCCTCTCCGATAGATCCTGGCAATTGAACACGATATCCACTTTCTTTTCCCATTCTAGGAAAGCATCTGGGTTGTTTTTCCCGTAGAAAGGGGGAATCCGTAGTTTCATGCCTCCTAGGTCGTTGTCATTACGCCCTCGAGCCTGTTCGGCTTCTCGTCGTTCATGGACTGGTCGCTGAGGTCGTCCTCCTTCACGTCGGTAATTTCTGGCAGGAAAAAGATTGCCTCGGTCGCGGTCTCCTCCAGCTCGGCCTCGGTGTGCACCACGGTTGCCTCGCAGCCTGACTCGGCTGCTACCGGATGAGTGGTTATCCGCGTAGAATGGATTTTCCATCTCTTGCTCGAAGTTCCGATCCAACGGATATGCATTGGCTCCTCACGGTTCTGATCGTTGGCCTCCTCTTGCCTTGGCTGAACTTCAAGCCGATCCATCCTTTAACTCATACGCTCCACCATTTCGGTGATCTGGTTGAGTTTGGCCTCCATTTCTTTGGGAGTATACCACCGAACGTGGTTACCGTCTCTGAATGTGTAGAAATCGCAGTCGCTCAGAGAAAAGTCAGATGACATGCATGTACCTCGCAAAAAGAACAAACTTGTTAGTAAAAATCCTTACTAGTGTTTCCCTCTTTGATTCACTCGCTCTCTTATTAATATCACAAACCCACAAGAGATTTTCTTCCGGTTCTAAAGGAGTTAATCGATTCACGATGACTGCCTGTAGGTTCCCTTGGTTTATCAAATGTTTGAAAGGAGAAGAATAAGGAAAGATAGGTAGAAAAGAATGTGTTTTTTTTTTTTTTTGACTTTTGATCTTCTTTTTTTTTTTATATATATAACGTAAATAGAGAAGATGAGATGAGAAAAGGCGGAATTTAAAGAGATAGATAAACACTACCGATTAAGCAAGTGGGCTCTGATACCACTTGATACGATTTCCCTAGGATTTGCACTTGCTTGCTTGGTAGAGGTTGATAAACTCGGCCAAAGTCGGTTTGATCGGAGAGATGCTAAGGGGTGAGAGGTTGTCTCGAAGGTCCTTAGGCCCAGCTCGCGAGAAACAGAAACTGATCGAGGGAATGGAAACACCAAGTGATGATCTCGCGGGTAAAGGATGAACAGGCGTGAGACTTAATCTTGAAAATCCTGTTGCCCCTAAACTACTTTGAACGAAATCGAAACAAGATGTAAATGAAAGGCTGCGTCGAATCCTATGGATTGAATCCGATAAACCAAATAAACCTTTCAAAGCTAACCACCTAAGAAAGAAAACTCAGAAAGAACAAGAGAAAATCTTGATTTTATTGATGAAAAGTGAATAGCAAAATACAAAGGAGTCTGGCTCTTTATATAGAGTCGTAAAAGAAGTGCAAAAGACAAGAAAATTAAATGAAAGCAGTAATTAAGTTGAATGACCACTCGGCTCCCTTTGAATGTCCCTTCGGCTCCTTTCGCGAGTGATCCTTGGATTTCTTGTAACGGCTATTATCTAACTTCGGATAAGAGAGATGTGGCCCCTTAACCTCATTAAAACCCCATCCGGTAAACCCAGTGGGACAAACCCGGATGCAAGGAAAGAGAGTATCAAGGAGCTACACCGTCCGAGTAGGTTAAAAGCATTATAGCTTGGTTGTTTAGTGTAGCGTCCGTAAACTTGGCCTTCAGCTCGGTGCATAACCTCCAAATGGCCATAGATAACTTCTTGGCTCGGGACCGCGTTATTGGACCAGCGAGCTCGGATAAATCCGTACTTGGGTCGTCCACCCCGTCTGGCTTTCCGTCCTGAACCTCCACTTTGCTTAGGTCGGCCAATTGGTCTGGTCGTCCACCTCGTCTGGCTTTCCGTCCTGAACCTCCACTTCGCTTAGGTCGGCCAATTGGTCTTGATTTCCGACCTGAACTAGTTCTCTTGCCTGACCCTCAGTTCGCACCTCGTCCATGCTTGTATCAGATTCAGCTGTCGGGTGCTTCATCAAAGTTGGAGAAGACTGGATCACAGTTCCAGAGCAAGTGGAATCATAGAATTCGGACACGTGAGCAGAGAGTTAAGCTCGTCGGAAAGAACTCCTGTCTCGCTGCTGTTTTGGACCGACCCGATGAGCTCCGAAGAATGCGAAGGACGGTGCACTTCCAGACCAATTCAGTTTACCGGGCCTTCATCAGAATCTGAGTTATTTGAGTCCTCTTTCCAGAACGTTTGAGATAATTCAATTCGGAGCTGTGAGCAAGAAGATAACGTTTCCGGAATGGACACACGTCTAGAAGCCTCTTTCTGATCGTGTCAATGCACTGCGAAGACGAGCCCTCCAGGAAGCCTTCCACTTCCCAAGCGCCGAAGCTTACTTCACCAAAGTTGAATATATATGAGTCTCCTGTCCTCTGAAACCTGAATCACACAATTCGGACCAATATCCTGGAAGTTACGCCTCCCGGAATGCGAAGTGGTCCAAGCTGCTCTGAATGCTGCGAGATAGTCTTGCGACCTGGTTAACTCGCAGGCCTGAAGATGAATGCCTGGAAGTTGATGCTGCGAGTTTAGAAGTGCGGGTAAGATATCACTGGATGATGTCTGAGGCTCCTGAGCAAGAAAAATGCTAAGTCCACAATCATACGACTTAGGCATGCGAGTTGGCCGCGCTTGAAACTAAGCAGCACGATCACTCGCAATCTACTCCGACGTGGGCATGCGGCTTGGGATTAAGGGATGACCAAGTCGCACATGTACATTCCCCAGAAACCGCCTTGGTCCTGCGAGTTGAAGAAGAAGAAGATTAAGCCGCACAAAGACTCGCAAAACACACCTACTTGGGTGTGCGGCTAAAACCAAGCGATTAAGTCTCACAAGACAAGTTCTTCACCTGTGCGACTTGGGCATGCGACCTGGGAGACACTGGACCAACCCGCACATTCCCCACTTTACCCCCTAAAGCCGGGTCAGGACCTGGTTTGTTCCGGGCTGACCCGGTTCGTTTTTAGAGAGATATAAATACTTTTTAGGGTTTTTTCCAAGACTTAAGCTTTGTTTTCTCTTGTTTCTCTTTCCCCTTTTGTTAAAAAATGAGTTTGTTAAGAGATATCTGAAGGATTTAATCAATCCAAGTCTGTTTCTTATCATCTCATCTTCTTATCTTTGCTTCTAATCATGATTAACATCACCTCTTGCAAAGGAAATGGTGTGTTCATCATGATTAGTGAGTAGTCTTCTTTTTAAACTTCTAGGTGTGTAGATTAGGGTGCTTTGATGTTTGATTTATGATGTTTAGGTTCTAGATTCTCATTTCCTTTCCTTAGTTAGCTGCTCTTAATGCTAGATCTCTCATTATAAGCTGGACCTAGAACTTAGGCATTTCTCCACCCACAAGGTGTTTGATGAAATGCCTGAATGAGCTAACTTAAGGGTTTATGCCTTTTTCATCATGGGAATGATTGTTAAATGCATGAATGACATATTAGAACTGTTTCTTAATGCTCATTGATTCATATTTCACAAATGATGATTTGGTTTGAAAATGGATTAGTGTAGAGGTTAATGCCTTCATGAGAGGATTAATCTAGATTAGAGTTCTAAGTTAATTGGAATTTGAGATCATATGATGCTTGCTTTATCTTTCTGTATAAGATTCAGTCTTTCTTAGCTCTTATTTTGATGCACAAAGAGGCTGTCTGGTCATTTTAGACTTGGAACCTTATGCTTGTTGATTGCTTATTCATCTAATGGGAATTAGTCTTGATTTGGTAATTAACAAAGGGATTTTTGTCATGAGAATGAATTAATCTGATTGGGAAGTCTAGATTAAAGATATTGCAAGTATTGCATTGTTTGCTTAGCATCATGAATTAAGTATTGAAAGCACCCTGATCAATGATCACATCTAGAGGTTTAGCTTTATCTTTATTTGAATTTGAGCCTTTGCTTTGTTGTCTTGCTTGTTTAGTTCTTAATTACTGCTTGTTTGTTCTTGCTTGTTTTATTATATGCTTTTAGATAATCTTGGTTACCAACTCATCTGTTTAGTTAGACTTGGATTAAGAATTGATCCTCATAGTCTTAGTGTCTAGAATCTCTCCATTTGGATTGATACCTCAAGTGCTACAATGACATGAGTAGTTGAGGAATTGATCAAGAATTGAAAAATTCCTACTATCAGAACCGACCTACGAAACAAGTGGGCCGAGCCATGTTCATCAAGGCGAGTGGGCAGAGCCGCGGACAAAGACAAACGGGTCGAGCCGTGAAGAGAACGAAGAATTGGCCGAGCTGTGCAAGAAGAGGAATGAGCCGAGCCGTTTTTTCCTGTGTTGGGCCTAGCCGGTTGTTCAGATGGGCCAAACTGAAGCCTGGAAGGATGAAAACCCATAAAAACCCTAGGCGAAGTATCGTGACGGCAGCCGCACGAAGCGATAAGGAAATATTCCGAAAATCTCTCCCGAGATTCTCGGCTAGGCGGTTTAGAGAATTATTATAAATAGACGATTTACGCGATTCGTTATGTAACTTTTGCAACCCTAAGCAATAAAGACTAAAGACTTTCACAACAATAAAAACTTTCCTTCGATCTTGCTGTTCTTGTGATCAACCCTAGAATTTTCGGATCCCTTAAGTTTTCCTTAACAAATTTCTTGGTTGTGCGAGTTTTGGCTCACACAATTTGGCCCCGCCTGTGGGAATCGAAATTTTCTTATTCTAAATCAACAATACTTTACGATCTGAAGAACATGGCGAGCATCACCCCCGACGACAACAACAACAACAACAACAACGGCGCGGAGAAGGACGCTCCACAATCAGGCACAACAACGGCGACAACCGAAACCCAAGAGGAGATGTGAAACATGATGGCTACGTTGATGAAGAAAATCGACGAGCAGGACGACAAGAACGAGACGATTACGGAAAGGCTCGACGCGATGACGGCTGAGAGACAACACCCGACTTGGAGAGCCGGAATCTCCGATCCGACGGACGGAGTTCGGAGACGCTTCGATTTTTCAACACCTCAGGAGCCTCGGGTAGCGGCACAAGAAACCCCATAGCTCCACCAATGTTTCGTCCCCTCAGCTGACAGACTCCTGCAGCAACCAGAATCAACATGACTGAGCCGCCTCCGCTCCGTCGGAATTCACGGCGACGAGCCGACGAAGAGGAGAGCGACGTAATCGACATGGACGCCCAACAAAACGATGGAACCAAGAATTCGCAACAAAACGGCTCGGCTCGGCGAATAAGCCAAGAAGAGCTCGCCTCGGCACTAAATGGCATTCGGACTGATGAAGTCACTGACCCGGCTCGCGACGACGACCCAACTGAAGAAGAGGAAAATCTTCAATGGGTCGAGCAGGCGGAGCGCGAAGACAAGCCGAGGAGAGAAGATCGGGAGCGGCTTCGCCCTAAGAGAATGACTCCCGTACAAACCCTCGAAATCGAAGACCTGCGAGCCTCACTAACTCGAACAGTGGCCGAGAAACGCGCCATGAAATCTCAAGTGCATAACGCGACAATTTCTGCGCCTGAGATCGATCGAATGCTCGAAGAGACCCAGAGAACACCGTTCACAGCAAGAATCACGGAGGCCAGGATTCCCGAGCACGGGAAAGTGAGAATCCCTTTCTACGAAGGCACAACTGACCCGAAGGCGCACATCACAGCGTTTCGGATAGCAATGGGACGAGCCTTCACAAGGAACGCTGCCAACCTGACCGAGCGGGAGGTAGATGTTGGATATTGCCTGCTCTTCGTAGAGCATCTCAAGGGAGCCGCGCTGGAATGGTTTTCAAGACAGGAGTGCAATTCAATCGGAAGTTTCCAACAGCTCTCCGCTTTGTTCCTCAAGCAGTATTCAATGTTCATGGATCGAGGAACCTCCGATGCCGACCTATGGACACTATCCCAAGGACAAAATGAACCGCTTCGGGACTACATGGCGAGATTCAAGGCGGTCGTGTCCAAAGTAGAAGGAATAAGCGACAAGGCTGCACTCAAAACTCTGAAGCGGTCCTTGTGGTACAAATCTGAATTCCGATGGGAAATGGCCCTCAACACGCCACAAACGATTCAAGACGTCTTACATCGGTCGTCAGACTTCGTCGTAAACAAGGAAGAGATGAAAAATCTGGACGAGCAGTACGAAGCAACGAAAGCAGCGATCCGAAGCTCAATCCTGACGCGCCCCTCGAAGAAAGGTAACCCATCAAACAACGCAACAACACAGAGCTCGGAGGAACCGACAAGTGGAGGTGCCGACAACTACCAAGTAGGTGCTGGATGCGGAAGAAGAGAGCCGCGCAGCAACACTTGGGGGAGGAGACTCACTAACTACGATGAAAAGGCGTTCTGCGAGTATCACCAAACCTACAGGCACTCGACGGCACAATGCCGAACCCTGGGAGCCAAACTCGCGGCTAAAATGGCAGCGGGAGAGCTCTAGAGCGCAGTGAATCCTAAAGACCTCATCCCTACTGAGCCAAAAGAGGGAACCGAGCTAAACGGCGCAACAGAACCCGCAAATCCTCCCTGACGAGGTGATAATGCCAAGCACGATAGCATAGGCGAACCCGAAGAACGACCCGAGCCAAGATAGAGAATCAATATGATCATGGGTGGATCCCAATACTACCAAGACACGGTATCTTCCATCAAAGCGTACCAGCGCCGAGCCGAAGCAAAGAAGAATTGGACCGAACCGACCGACATCCCAAACACGGTGATCTTCTTCGCCGAAGAGGAAATGGCAGGGATAGATAGACCACACACCGATCCACTAGTGATCGAAATGACGATCAGAGACCACGACGTGGCGAGTGTACTCATCGATACCGGGAGCTCGGTAGATGTTATCTTCAGGGAGACACTCAGACGGATGGGAATCGATCTCTCCGAGGTGACGACAGTCCCTAAACCTCTAACCGAGTTTTCAGGAGAAACAACAATGACTATGGGCACTAGACTCCCAGTAGTGGCTGGGGGAGTCACTAAGATCACCAGCAAACGACGATGTGATCATGGGGACCCCATAGATAAATGCAATGAGGGCGATCCCTTCCACCTATAACCTCTGCCTCAAATTCCCAACTCCAGCGGGCATCAAAACAATTTGGGGAAATCAGAAGGAGCCGCAAATGTGTTTCCTGACGGAGCACAAGTTGAGGAACCCCGTCACCGACGCACGAGCAGACATAGATCGCAAAAAGCTGAAGACAGATCGAGAGCCTGCGAACGAGCACTCAAAGCTCTTATAACAATTACAGATCGCGGAGAGCCGCGAAACACGCACCGACCCGGAATGTGATGCGGTGGACTCGGTGTGCATAGACGAAGCGCATCCAGAGAGGCATGTCGAGATCGAAACTAAGCTAGAAGAACCTTTGAAAAAGGAACTCATTTCCTTCCTTAATGGTAATATCAACACTTTTGCCTGGAGAGCGGAGGATATACCAGGCATAAGCATCGACGTGACCTGTCACGAGCTGAACGTGGACCCAACCTTCAAACCAATCAAGCAAAAAAGGAGGAAGCTCGGACCCGAACGAGCTAAAGCAGTTAACGACGATGTGGAAAGATTGCTCAAAGTAGGATCAATCGCCGAGGCAAAGTACCCGGACTGGCTCGCTAATCCAGTGGTCGTGAAGAAGAAGAACGGTAAGTGGCGAGTCTGTGTAGATTTCACTGATCTCAACAAGGCGTGCCCAAAAGACAGTTTCCCTTTATCGCACATCGATCGGCTCGTCGAAGCCACTGCAGGGAACAAGTTGTTGACATTCATGGATGCGTTTTCAGGTTACAACTAAATCTTGATGCATCCCGATGACAGAGAAAAAACGGCGTTCATAACCAATCGCGGTATTTACTGCTACAAAGTCATGCCATTTGGACTCAAAAACGCGGGGGCAACATATCAACAGCTCATCAATAAGATGTTCGCAGATCAGCTCGGAAAAACCATGGAGGTATACATCGACGACATGCTGGTTAAATCGAATGAAGGAAAAGACCATATCGTGCACCTACGAGAATGTTTCGAGCAATTGAACAAGCACAATATGAAACTAAACCCGGCAAAGTGCAGTTTCGCGATCACCTCGGGAGAGTTCCTCGGCTATTTGGTAACTCATCGAGGCATTGAAGCGAACACCAAGCAGATCAAGGCTTTAGTCGAGATGCCCTCTCCAAGAACGAAGCGAGCACCAAGCAGATCAAGGCTTTAGTCGATATGCTCTCTCCAAGAAAAAAAGGAGAAGTTCAAAGGCTCACGGGAAGAGTCGCCACGCTAAACAGATTCATATCCCGTTCTACCGACAAGTGTATGCCTTTCTACGACATCCTCTGAGGAAATAAGAAGTTCGAGTGGGACGAGCGATGCGAAACAGCTTTCCAGGATTTGAAGGGTTATCTGGCGAGCCCGCCGGTCTTGGCGAAACCAGTAGAAGGAGAGCCTCTCTTCCTCTACATCGCTGTATCCGCTACGGCCGTGCGCGGGGTGCTGATAAGAGAAGAGCGATCCGAACAGAAACCCAAATTTTATGTCAGTAAGACATTGACTGATGCCGAGACCCGTTACCCTCAGATCGAGAAGGTCGCCCTAGCCGTTGTAGTATCGGCTCGCAAGCTGCGTCCATAATTCCAATCACATTCAATTATTGTGCTTGCTACCCTTCCGCTGCGCTTGATCTTGCACGGCTCGAGCCAATCTGGGCGGCTTGCCAAATGGACCATAGAGTTGAGCGAGTACGACATCGAGTATCGGAACAGGTCATCTGCAAAATCACAGGTGCTCGCAGATTTTCTCATCGAACTTCCAACCGAGGCACGACCGTGCCAATCCCAGATGAAGTTTGGATGCTGCACGTTGACGGCTCGTCATCTAAACACGACTCGGGAATAGGAATCCGTCTCACCTCTCCCACCGGAGAAATATTAGAGCAGTCTTTTCGCCTGAATTTCAACGCCATGAACAACGAAGCAGAGTACGAAGCACTGATCGCTGGCTGATAACTAAGAGTTTTCAGGCTCTTAGAAGGGTTATCAATCTCCTTTGTCAAAGTAGTATAAGGGGTGTCAAACCAAACTTGTAAACGAGATACTAGCCTATGTCATTTGTTCACTTAAGTCAAAACAAGAAGGTAAAAGTTTGGTGACGATGATAATCAGTCAAATAAGCAATAAAAGTAAATAAAAAGTAGAGATTTAAACTAAGCAAGATGCAAACAACAGACAGGTGATTCAGATGATGATAATATGCAATAAAGGAAGAGACTTTAGACATGATAATCGACTCGGGTGCTTCCAAGCTAAACTAATGGGCTAATGAATCATTTTATCAAGCGGTTTCATTTAACTTTGAACTCAAGGCATGTTAATCTTCTCATGAAAGTATTAAACATCTAAACTGATACTCCTTCATACCAAAATATCTTTTGAGAAGCACGAATCAATCAGCAATAAGATTCAGTTCAAATATGTCATTTAAGAGAACAAACTATCACACTCGCGATGAAAGACTCTTAAACCCTTAACCGAGTGGTTCAGACATTTCTACAAACACTTTTGATACGAGATATGTCTCAGATCTGAACCTCAAGTGATGTGCTTGGATCCAGCCTAGAGATCTTGTCGGTTAAGGAATGAAACATGCAAGACTAGACACCTAAACCCATTAATCCACCTTGAAAGCACCCTAATCTACTTATCTAAAGTCGCTTAAACGACTACTCACTGATCATAACGAGCTCACTAAGTCCTTTGCAAGACGTGTAGTTGGTCATGATTAGGAGTTTAATGCTGATAATAAAAGAAGAATAAAGAAAGAACAAGATTCAGACGTAAAAACGAGATATCGGATTAGATTAATCTGGTTTTCACAAAATAGGCAAGTTCTTAAAGCTAAAAACAGATAAGAGATAAGATAACTCGGTTTTTTTAGTCTCAAAATGTATTTATAGCAAAGGGAAAGTGTCGCGGGTCAGCCCGGAACAAACCGGGTACTGAACCGCCCTCTTGGGTTGATGGGTGAGTGCCACGGTGTGTCGGAAAGTGAAGCCGAGGTCTTCATGCCGAGGTGTGCACGTGAGTCAGGATCCGGATGAAGATCTCGTGAAGAACACGTCAAGAACATGCATGAACCCTAGTCTTTGATCCATCCTCACGTGTGTGTTCTTGAGCTACTCTGTTCTTGATTCTGGGTTCGTGACAAGGGACCTTGGGATAAAATGTCGAGGGGTCATGATGTCGAGGTGCTTGGGAGAACACAGTCCGGCATGCACACCGAGGTCATTACACCGAGGTGTACTCTCAACACTTAGTCATTTCCAGCTTCAGTTTTTACGTATGCATGCCTCGATCTAATCATGCCAAGGCTTTGGGACGAGGTCTGGTCCAAAAGACTTCCAAGATATGAGCCTCGACTTGAGTGATGCCAAGGTAAAGATACCGAGGTTTGTGAAAACACTTAGCGCGTATCGCAACTCATTTTAGGCTTGTATCGACCATGTCACCTTCCGGAAGCGATAACTTTCAGCACAGGACTCCAATTGCTCTGGGACCAGTTCCACAGTAAAGATGACTCAATAAGCTCGAACTTTGGTGAAGAAACCATCGGAGCTTGGGGAGCGGAAGGCTTTCTGGATTTCACATCTTTGCGCCGCATTGAAATTACCGGAAAATAGACTTTTAGACCGATGTGAACTCCGGAGTCCCTATCTTCCAAACCTTTGCTCCGAATTGAGCGATTCCAAATGCGCTGAGAAGATCTTCCATGGATCTCGAACTTTAATGAAGACCGGGTAAGCTGGTTCGGACAGGAAAGGCTCCGTCCGCCATGATCTTTGAAGTTCGCCGTTCAGTTCTCGGGTACGCGCAAGGCTGGTGAACGCTCCGGAAGCCATATCTTTCTCTCCACTGGTCCGAATTGAATTATTCCAACTGTTCTGGAATCTTTGCTTGATTATCTCTAACTTTGGTGCAGACCCCGCCAACAGATTCGGACCGGAAGGTTCCCCGGATTGCTGATTTCTGAACTGCACGGGCAAGGGCAACTTTTGGTCGTAAAAACCTTCCCGCGGTAAGGAAAATGGCCGAGGGCTGTGTACCGCGATAAGCTTTTTGCTTGTAAAAATCCTTGCCTCGGTCAAAAACTTGTCCCGTGGTATTTTTGCACTCGATACTCGATTCTGGCCGATCGGTAAGGTTTTTGGCCGGTAATGAGCATCCGGTAAACATTTTGGTCGAGGTTTCCGACCAGCCGGTACGAGATTTGGCCGAGAAATTCCTCCAAGCGGTTTTCACCATTTTTGACCCTTTTCTTCACCGTTTTCTTTCCTGTTCCTCTTCTTAGGCTCCAATTGGTCTCCAAGGCTCCTGATAAGGACTTCAAAACATGCAAAACTCTTTGGGACCTAATGCAAGCCCTAAGTCCTATTTTGACGCCTAAAGACTCAATTTACATGAGAAAACACATGATGAGGACTCTATAATGCAATCTAAATGATGTAAAATATAGACATATCAACTCCCCCACAGTTGTCCTTTGCTTGTCCTCAAGCAAAAAGAACAAATGAGAGAGAGAGGTTGTGATGCAGATGGAGCTCATATTTCCTTTTTAGAGAGAAGTGACCACAAGAGAACTCGGATTCATGCTCAATTATGCAATGCAAAGCTATACTCGGATATTTTCCAACTAAAACACGGAATCTCCACAAGTCATTATCACATTCAACTCTTTCACATTCATTAAGTTCGTAACCGGTGAATCAAATGATGCAATGTTCAAATAGGCTGGCTTGGCTAGGGTAAGGTCATGAGATAAAAATGATCTCATCAATATTCAAGCGGGTGCAATGCAACAGGGATCTCTCTATGAACGACCAAACTTCGGCAGAATGCTAAAGGTAAAAAGCAACCGATGCATACAAGGGCAAGACTCATCACACCCCACACTCCACTCAAAGCGTTTCTCACTTGCTCACCCTCTCAGAATCCTCACTCTTCACAATCGTTTTCTTTTCACTAGGGGATTCGCCTTTTTTCTTTTATCTTCAAGCCTTGGTTTTCGCTTATTCATACAGCTCTTTTCTTTCATAGTGTATAGCCTCTTTCATTTTTATTTCAGAACACTTGAGCCTTTGGCTTCTTTTCATTTCAGAGCTTATCTTTTCACAACCAAGACTTGATTCATTTTCATTCATTCCCCTAGCTATTTCCACTCTCACTTTTCCACTCAGCTCACCTTTTCCCACTCACCAACAAGTCTTTTCCCCCACACTTATTTCTCACCAATACTCTTGGTTCCTTGATGTTGAAACATATCACTCAATGAGCCATGCCCTTGTCGCTCTAAACCTAACACTTTCTGCCAATTTCAGTCCACGGTGGCCTTACAATTCACACGCAAACATTTGCTCGAAAGAAAGATGGGTTCAAGGTGAGGGAACTGATCCATGATGCGGATTCAGCTACTTGAGCTAAGGATGGAGGGTGGTAAAAACAACGATTCTATCTCAAGTATGTATACCGGTATCCACAAGCCTATTCAAGCAATGTATCAAAAGATATTTACATTTCAAGTTCAAGGTTATCATTTAGCTAGAGTTGAGTGTAATTCAAACTTGTTTCTCAGATTCAAATCGTTTCGAGCTTTACAAGCACATAATGAGTTTCACAAGCATATTTAGTTCAAGTTCTCAAGTGATTTACTCTCTAGTAAAAAATCTATCATTACTCCATGCACTGATGCAATCCTACATGATGCAACTAGACTCGATCTTAAAATGCGAGATGCAACTAGAATGATGTA